GAAAACCACCTGTTTAGGCAGGCCGCATCCTGAAGTGGTGAAGGGTTTCCTGAAGTGGTCAAGTGAGAGTTTTGGGCAGTTTGAAAATCCTGAATTGTCCTGAAGTGGTGAAAGGTCCGAAGACCATGAAAACCACCCTTCACCACTTGAGGATGCAACCTGCCTAAACAAGTGGTTTTTAGGGTCTTCGGAGATTTCACCACTTCAGAACCATTCAGGATTTTCAGACCGGAATGGTCCTGAAGTGGTGAAAGGTCCGAAGACCCCGAAAACCACCTGTTTAGGCAGGCTGCATCCTGAAGTGGTGAAGGGTGTCCTGAAGTGGTGATGAAAAATACGACTGTTGTTAACCTTCTCTCCTACTACGGGGCCAGCTCGGCCTCTAAAGATTTCTGTATCTACTAGCATGAGCTGCCCCCTATTCTCTTTCTTCATTTTGGCGCAGGCGGGTATGCTCTCCTTTAACTCTTCTGCCACGCCTGTGAGGGAAGTGCCTAGAGAGACTCTGACACATGCAGTCTCTGGGCAGCTATCTAGGCACTGGCCTGCAACTTCTGCCATGGGCTCATGTGGTTTGGAAGATTTGTGCCGGCTCGTTGACTTATCCCCACACGGCCCTAGGGTAGGGGCAGTTGCTACCCCTACCGGCGGCTGCCTTTTGACTCTTGGCTAGCCCGCTGGGCTTCTCTGTACTTGGGACAATATTTAATAATGTGGCCAGGGTCACCACAGTATATGCACTGTCCCTGGTCAACACGTTGTTGCCATAAGCGTTGGTCCAAGCTCAGATCTTTGCAGGGCCTGCCCTGAGTCAGCCCTGGGTGCCAACCACCTCTCCAGGAGGATGACCTGTTCCCCCTGCGTGGTGACCAATTTCCTCTACCAGGAGACCAATTTCCAGAACGGTTTTGCAGAGGACCTTGACCCCTGCCTCCCTCTTGGCGGTTTCCTCTACCGCCAACCCCCTGAACGCCCTCGGTATTCCCACCAGAGGCCCGACCCCCTTGGCCCTGACCTCTTCCTCCTCCTTGCGGCCTCCCTGCGGCCGCGACAGCAGCGTAAGTCTTCCCTTGCCCTTCGCTACTGCCCTCATCCTCAAGCCCCCACTCTATCTGTTTGTAGGGAACTTCTTCGACACCACCTTCATCTAAGGTAAGGATCAGACGATCCTTTGTCTTAACCCGACCCGAGATGGTGAGGCCCTTCCACTTTTTCCCCTTGTCTAGGTCCTTGTGTTAGAAAGTGGAGACTGTCATGGACCACGCTTCAAATGCCACCACTTCCCTGCTCTGGGCGTCGTAGGTCATGGTGGGTTAATGACTCTTCTCAAAGAAGTGCCCTCGTAGCGATTCGGGCATAGCCCGGTAAAAGAGGTTGACCAACTGGGTCTCGGTGACCCCGTGGTCAAGGATTGCAATCAACTCATCCAGTACACCTTTGAGTGCCTTGGCACTCTTCCACTGACGCGAATGGATGGTTTGCAAATGATCGGAGGCTTTAACACTGCATGCAACATCTGCAAACCGCTCACGCAATAACTTTAGAAAGTCACTAAGGGGAGTGAACGCAGAGTACGCAACGACATCATTATTGCAGTTAGCGGCGCGTACCAGGGCATGGATGGCGATTAGGACGTGCTCATCTAGGGAAACTTTCTGCAGGTGCACGTAGGTCTTAACATTCGCTTCCCAGTTGTCAAAGTTCTCTTCCTTCTTCCCACTGTAGGAATCACGAAAGTTGACCTTGATCGGCTCCCTATGAGGACGTACTTCCCCTCCTTTGGGGGCGGTTCGTCTGGCGCCCTCAATGGCGCTTGTGCAATAGCGCTTTGTCCCTTCGAGGTGGGCCTTCACCTCGGTGCCCACCTGCGTAGCCATTTCACGTGCAAAGTCCTTGAGCCCCAATCGTATAGAACGCACGTCGATATCCTGGCTTCTACCAAATAGAAATTGCTCTTCCTGGACCTGCGCCAGACGCTATATATTCTTCGCCATAATTTCCATCTTCCCCAATAAATCTACCTGTACCGCCATCTGATCTCTCTGCTTCTTTATCTCTTCTAATTCTTTCGCCGCCTGGCTGGCGGCCTCCATCCTTCTTTTCCTTTCCCTGGTGAGACGAAACTTCCACTCCATTATTTTGTCATCCTCCACTTGTCGCTTGAGTGGGTCCTCTTCAGCCTTCCATTTTGTGGCATACTGGGTAGCCACACGGGCCTACAGGGCCCGTCCATTCAGCCTAAAAGCCTAAAACTTAGGGCTTACAAGCCCCGTTCATTTCAGCCTGGATGCTGAAAAACGAGGGCCTGCAGGCCCTCCCTCGTTTCAGCCTATTTCTGGGTCTTTTCAGACCCAGAGTTTTCAGCCTGAAACGGAGGGCCATTTTCAGGCCCTCATTGTTTCGACCTGCCCCTAAGACTCAGGCACGGAAACAGGGATGCGGAACAGGCCCAAAATAGCCTGTTCCTCACATGCTCGAGCAGGAGCTGCAGCTGCAGCCCCTGCCTTCCTTCGGCAGGCTCAAGAGGCACACCCGTAGTACATAGGAAGGACCGATGCACTTCACGGGTAGATAGAGGTAGTGTCAGTAGGAGCAGTAGTCTTCAGGATTCGGCCGCAACACTCAGGAGGAGCGCTGCAGTAGTCTTCAGCGCTAGGTAGCAGTGGTAGCGCTAGTGGTAGTCTTCGGCGCTGGGCGCCATAGCTGTAGCTGTAGCCTTCAGCGCTGGGCGCTGGTAGGTAGTAGATCGTAGAGTGGAGAGAGACTAGCGGAGGCCAGTGTTACTTACCTGTGGCGCCATCGCTCTAGCTCCAACTTCGTGGTACCTGCATCAAGGCGCCAACTTCACAGGTCAGTACTGGACACAGAGAGAGAGAGAGTTCTTCTTCTTCCTCTTTTAAGTCCACTTTCTCTTCTCACCCTCTCGCCACCTGACTTCTCAGACTACGACAGAGAGAGACCGAGTTGTGACTTGAGACTTGACGACATTGGATCCAGACTTGACATTTGGGATTCAGACAGTTTGACGAGGGACTATTTGGGTTTGTGCTGAAGACTTGGTGCTGACGACATTCCCATCTTCCCCCTCCTCTTCGTCTATCCCCTTCCTCCTCGTCTGTGCATGTTCTGGGCTGGCG